CGTGAGCGTGAGAGCCGCGGCTCAGGCTTTGACTATTCAGCTACCGGACGACAGTGAGTATGGTGTGAGCCTATATGTAAGTTAGTACGTGTAGAAAAAAGTGTGTGTGTGTGTGTATGAGTGTATGTGAGAATGTGGGTGAAGTGCTAAGCCAAATTTCCACATCATTGTGACATCACATCACCTTGAGTTACATGTGCATTAAAGGGCTCCGACCTCCATTGCCACCTTACTAAGTGGTGATAATTACAAACAATAACCTTTAGTCTAGGAAACATAATATTCCAACTGAACTAATATCTGGTGTGTGTGACCAAAAAAGATCATAATAGATTAACATTTTGTTATGCTATGACTCAACCTGGGTATTCATTTGTGGATGTCCATCATCGATATGTTACGTATTACAATTCGTATGTCATGTTGCGAATTGTAATTCGTACAATATGTCACAAATTGCAATTCGTACAATATGTTACGAATATGCAATTTTACCAATTCCAATTTGTTGTGGTTAACGTTAGCTAGGTGGCTAACGCTAACATTAGGTAGGAGGCTAACGTTAGCTAGGCTAGGGCTTAGGGTTAGGGGTTAAGGATAGGGTTAAGGATAGGGTTAGGAGTTAGGAGTTAGGTTAAAGGGTTTTTAGGGAATGCTTGAAGCGGGGCCTAATGGCTCAGGAATTGCTTTGTTCAGTAATCAAAAGCACTTGTTTAGTTAATTGTGATGGACGCAGGGCATGGGAGGAGTTCAGATAGCTTTTCAGAAAGAAACAAACTGGGCAACGCAGGCCTATTCAGCAAGAGCCTCAATTCCCAGCAACAGACAAAGGCAGGCCGGGTGAGGCTGCTGTCAAAACAGTGCACAGAGGTACTTAAAATAACCACAATTGTCCTTTAATATATTGGCACCCTTGCACGATTCACTATTTATTTTCAAATAAATTGAAATTGAGATTTTTTTACATCAGTCAAAAAATGGCCTGGACTTAATCAATCAGAATTCAAATTAATTTGGTTGAGGCAGGTGATACTCGTTTTCCTGGTAATTTGAAAAGAGGAAACAGAACATTCTGCTCCATTGCAATCCATTGTAAAGTGCAAGGGAACCAATATATAAGTGTGCAACTGTATGTAAATGCAAGTTTGATGAAAGCTCCTCAACAGTTTCTGCATCCCTCCGTTAAAACAACCTATTAATTGTATTATTATAGTGAACCGGACTGACCCAGACACACACACAGACACACACACACAAATGGGTGACACATGGGTGACACAAACACAAAAGGGGGAAACACAAACACACACTTACGTCTGCATCTGCCAGGGGCAGGTGTGTCAGGTCAGGCTGGATAGGATATGGAACAATATTCAATATTCGGTTCTAATCCCCTGTTATTTGCCCGTGTGACAGAGACCTACTTCCTGTTGCGAAGGTATTTCAATCGAATTAAAGACGGTATTAATCCAGAGACAGATTGACTGGGAGAGCTGCACTCATCTACTCCACTCCTAATAACCAGTAGACACACACAGCATTATCCACAGCCTTACCAGCTGCTTAATCAGTCTCAGCTCTTTTTAATAGATGTTCTATTGTGCAAGACAAAAAATAACTGTTCCAACAACGCTATCATTTCATTTTCCTTGTAGCTGAAAAAAAAAACATTATACATGCCACACTAAATTAATGGTTTTGATTAGTTTTTTTGGGGGGGGGACATGAACCCAATCAATATTATACATGGAGTGTACAAAACATTAACACCTGCTCTTTCCATGACATAGACTGACCAGGTGAATCCAGGTGAAAGCTATGATCCCTTATTGATGTCACACTTCAATCAGTGTAGATGAAGGGGAGGAGACAGGTTAAAGAAGGATTTTTAAGCCTTGAGACAATTGAGACATGGATTGTGTATGTGTGCCATTCAGAGGGTGAATGGGCAAGACAAAATATTTAAGTTCCTTTGAACAGGGTATGGTAGTAGGTGCCAGGCGCACCGGTTTTTGTCAAGAACTGCAACGCTGCTGGGTTTTTCACGCTCAACAGTTTCCCGTGTGTATCAAGAATGGTCCACCACCCAAAGGACATCCAGCCAACTTAACCACTCTGGGAAGCAACTCAATATTAGGAATGTGTTCTTAATGTTTTGTACACTCAGTGTATGTCCAACATATCCATGTTGCCGTTGTTATTCCGATTTGGCACATTGAGACAATTCTATTTTAAGCGTATCACATCAGCAGTTATAATCTTAATTGCTATGTCTGCCAAAGTAATCACATTCATCATAAGGTACTACTTGTACTGAACCATACTATTTGTACTGAACACCAAGTAACCATGGTGACTTACATGAAATTTCAACTGAAAAAGTGAGAGAGAAAAAATCGTACATTCTGTATCTCTGTTACTAAGCAAGGATCACTGAGCATGCATGATCTCAAGTAAAGGAAACTTTGGGCTTCCATCCTGAGGTACCTGTACTTCACCTCATGATTCTCTTGCGCTGTTAGGTCAGAGAGGTCAGACGAGACCTTCCAAACACACAACTCAGACACATAGCCTAATTCTCACACTGAACCTTATAACTACACTGAGCAGCGTGTGTATTTGTACACTCAAGCCACAGGTGGCATCTAAACACACTGTCATTTAAACAGTAAATAGTAAACAGTCAAATATATCAACGTAAGATTCTATGACAGTAAGGTTTTGAGAGCAGTAAAGGTGTGTGACCAATCCAGGTCCTGACTGCTGAGAGTAGGAAGGAGGGTGACTGACACTCAGTGGACACTCATGGGCAGAGCAATCTGATGAATGGACCAATTAACAAATGACTAGCCTGGGTGCCAGTCTGTTTCTGCTCTCTTGTCAACTCCCTATGGAAATGTCATGCCAACCATGTCTAGCGTGACAAGGAGTGGCAAGGAGTGGAATAGCTAAACAGACTAGTACCCAGGGTAACAATTGACTAGCACTGGCCCCGGGCTAATCAAACTACAGTCGTTTAATGTGATCAACAACATAAAACAAAACGAACATGAAATGATTACTGGAGGGAGTGGTTCATTACTCAACATTAGTCACAATGAATTACGGTAAATGACACAAGTTGCCTTGTTTTGGTATAAGACATAGGCCTAATAGACGTCAGAGAAAGGAAACTATTGGGGATTTAAAAGTGGATTATACGAGGAGCCAAAAAAAGCTTTCAGGCACTGAGGGCACTTAGTGGACACTGAGATGGTGTCACGGTTTCGGCCGAGGCTGCTCCTCCTCCTGGTTCGGGCAGGCTTCGGCGGTCGTCGTCCCCGGAGTACTAGCTGCCACCGATCTATGTTTCATGTTCGTTTGGTTTTGTCTTGATGTTGTACACCTGTGTCTAGTTAGTCCTCGTTAGTGTTCTATTTAGTTCTCGTTGTGTGTGTCTGTGTTTGTGTGTGATTGCCCATTCTGTTTTCGTGTTGGAGCTTTGTTCCTCCCTCCAGTGTTTTGGAGAGGTTTGTTTGCACATGTTTGTGCGCCGTTTATTTGACGCCTGTGTGCGCCGTGATTTTCGCCTTCGGGCTATTATGTGCTTTTCTCTTGTGGATATTGCACTAAAGTCTTTTGGACTGTACCTCTGCCTCCTGCGCTTGATTCATTCACCACACCCACCTTCAGCACCCCTGACAGATGGGGTTTAACGACATAGGCCGCAGTGAAAAACATGTTACCGGGCTGGTTACCGTAACTGCCTTGGCAGAAGGCTGTTAGCAGTGACCAAAGAGGGACTAAATAGTTTGTAGCAGTGGTTCCCAACCAGGGATACTAGGACCCCTGGGGTTACTTGGCCTATCGACAGGGGGTACTTGAGAAGACTCATGAGACCCTAGTCCTACTGGTAAAATGTACGAGGGGGTACTTCAGGGGTACTCCGGGCAGAGCAAAATTCAGTTGGTAGTACAGTAACCGAAAAAGGTTGAGAACCACTGGTTTATAGTATTAGAAGGAGGACCAGTGGTGAATGCCAGGATGTAAACAAAGGGGAAATGGTTGTCAACTAGTGCTGGACTGACTGTACTTCATATTGGAAAACAAACGATCTTAATCACTAAAGCTTTTTTGGATCCTGGTTAACTAAATGCTGCCAATAATGATTTGCACATAATACAGAACTTAACATCCTGTCTCTGTTGGATTAAGTTATACAAATTTAACACGGACATTTTGTGCCAATATTGAACCAAATGTTTCTGATTGTTTCTGTGGGTTGCAGTTGTGGCTGAGAGACTGGAGGCTCAGGAGGCCAGAGGAAGATGCTGACCCCATGGGGGCTGTTCCTCTGCCAGCTGGCAATAAACATGTCCTACCATGTCATAAAAGGTAGACCAGAGTTCAATCAAACTCTCACTGTGGGGAATAGCGGTCTCGCTTCTTCAGTCGCCTCTACATGAAACGGCAAATACTGTATGTCCACTGGTATCATGTTATGGTTTTAGTAACGAACCACTTAAACCAAAACTGCAATGCAACATGGCCTAATAGAGAGAACAATGCTGCTTATGGTTGAAACGCTAATGTACATAAATCATTGAAATGTAATTGAAGTGTTTGAATTGAAAGCCATTGAACCCAAATCTGTGTCTGTTGATTGACAGCCAGCCTCTGCCTGGGTGGGTCGGACATCTTTGCGAAGGTGAGCGAGAACAGCCCCGTAGGAGAGTTCATTGCGAACCTCAGCATCGTCGGGGACCCTACAGGAGTCAATAGCATCCGCTTGTGCCTCACCGGAGAGAATGCCAATTGGTTCTACCTAGAAGGGAGAACCATCAGGCTAAACTCATCCATTTTAAGAGTCCTGGATCGAGAGGTAATAAGACATCACACTGTTGCTGTCCTTCTGTTTTAAGTCTTATGCCAGAAAACCAGTTATCCGTTTTGATTGAATAGGACAATATCTTTGACAGTTCATACTTAACAAGCATAATTAATGGCTTTTTCTCTCCAAGCGCCAGGGATCTGTTTTGATGGCAGCATTAACATGTTATGAAGATGACATAATGCAGGTAAGGCATCTCAATTACTCAATTTCAACTAGGCCTACAGCATGTTATTCCCAACCTGTAAATTAGAATGTGAACTGACTCAAAATAAAGGAGAGGAAAGGCCTAAACTGAGTTTCTGAAAATACAGTTTTCTTTCTCTAGAGTGAATACAGGATCATGGTTGAGATCCTGAATGAAAACGATAACAAACCAAGGTTCTTTGAGAAGACTATACAACCACGTTACATAAGTGAGGTAAATATACATCTCTAGATCACACTTTGATAATATAGATAATCTTGTGTTTCAGATGCATAATGACAGGTCTTCTGTATTTCATCAATCCTCAGCTCACTGCAGTCAACTCTGCAATCTTCACCGTCAAGGCCATCGATGCTGATGGAGACACCATCACCTACATCATCGACAGAGCCTCGGTATGGTACCATGAGTTTGAACTTACAGAGAATCATTATGGGACAGTGTGTGATAGGCTTTAGAGAGTAGGAATAGTTCATTGACAGCAGTCAAACTGCAAACTGTATTTTTACCAATAAAACTCCTAGCTCTCTAGTAGGCACTTCACCACAGTGCTGAATCCTGTTGTCATGTTCATGTTCCTGTTCATTTCAAACAATGACCCAATATATCCCCTTATAGTGACAACCCAACATCAACCCAACATCAACCCATCTACTCAAATGAATTCTATTTTAAATGGTCCTATACCTCCTAATCTTGCTGATTACACCTCTGTGTCAATCGCTCGGTAGACCATCTGTGCACTAAATTAATGAGCATTCATTTCTATGTTTCCTCTCATCCCAGCCTGATGCCAGCTACTTCAGGATAGACCTGCCCAACAGTGGTAAAGTGATCCTGGACAAGCCATTGGACTATGAGACCAAAACCCAGCTGCAGCTAGTCATCTACGCTGTGGTAAGACCTGCTACTTATCAGACCTGGGTTCAAATACAGGTAAAAGTCAGTAAATTAGAATATTTTGAAAAACTTGATTTATTTCAGTAATTGCATTCAAAAGGTGTAACTTGTACATTATATTTATTCATTGCACACAGACTGATGCATTCAAATGTTTATTTCATTTAATTTTGATGATTTGAAGTGGCAACAAATGAAAATCCAAAATTCCGTGTGTCACAAAATTAGAATATTACTTAAGGCTAATACAAAAAAGGGATTTTTTAGAAATGTTGGCCAACTGAAAAGTATGAAAATGAAAAATATGAGCATGTACAATACTCAATACTTGGTTGGAGCTCCTTTTGCCTCAATTACTGCATTAATGCGGCGTGGCATGGAGTCGATGAGTTTCTGGCACTGCTCAGGTGTTATGAGAGCCCAGGTTGCTCTGATAGTGGCCTTCAACTCTTCTGCGTTGTTGGGTCTGGCATTCTGCATCTTCCTTTTCACAATACCCCACAGATTTTCTATGGGGCTAAGGTCAGGGGAGTTGGCTGGCCAATTTAGAACAGAAATACCATGGTCCGTAAACCAGGCACGGGTAGATTTTGCGCTGTGTGCAAGCGCCAAGTCCTGTTGGAACCTGAAATCTCCATCTCCATAGAGCAGGTCAGCAGCAGGAAGCATGAAGTGCTCTAAAACTTGCTGGTAGACGGCTGCGTTGACCCTTGATCTCAGGAAACAGAGTGGACCGACACCAGCAGATGACATGGCACCCCAAACCATCACTGATGGTGGAAACTTTACACTAGACTTCAGGCAACGTGGATCCTGTGCCTCTCCTGTCTTCCTCCAGACTCTGGGACCTCGATTTCCAAAGGAAATGCAAAATTTGCTTTCGTCAGAAAACATGACTTTAGACCACTCAGCAGCAGTCCAGCTCTTTTTTTCCTTAGCCCAGGTGAGACGCTTTTCGCGCTGTTTCTTGGTCAACAGTGGCTTGACACGAGGTATGCGGCAGTTGAAACCCATGTCTTTCAAGCGTCTCTTGGTGGTGGATCTTGAAGCCCTGACTCCAGCAGCTGTCCACTCCTTGTGAATCTCCCCCACATTTTTGAATGGTTTTTTTTTCACAATCTTGACTAGGGCGCGGTGATCCCTATCGCTTGTACACTTTTTCTGACCACAGTTTTTCCTTCCCTTTGCCTCTCTATTAATGTGTTTGGACACAGAGCTCTGAGAACAGCCAGCCTCTTCTGCAATAACCTTTTGTGTCTTTCCCTCCTTGTGCAATGTGTCGATGGTTGCCTTTTGGACAGCTGTCAAATCTGAAGTCTTCCCCATGTTTGTGTAGGCTTCAGAACTGGACTGAGAGACCATTTAAAGCCCTTTGCAGGTGTTTTGAGTTAATCAGCTGATTATTTTGTGGCACCAGGTGTCTTCAAAATGTAACCCTTACACAATATTCTAATTTTGTGACACACGGAATTTTGGATTTTCATTTGTTGCCACTTCAAATCATCAAAATTAAATGAAATAAACATTTGAATGCATCAGTCTGTGTGCAATGAATAAATATAATGTACAAGTTACACCTTTTGAATGCAATTACTGAAATAAATCAAGTTTTTCAAAATATTCTAATTTACTGACTTTTACCTGTAGTATTTGTTTTGTTTCAAATACTTTGAGCGTCTGATTGAGCCTGTCTGAGGTACCAGACGGACGGGGTTGAACTTCTTGGACTATTTCAGTGGGCTCATTGAGTCACACATGCTCAATCAAGCACAGCTGAAGTATTTGAAAGAAAACAAATACCATGTCTGCTACTAATTCCCTTTTTCATTAATCAACAAGAACACATTGAGGCCAGAGGCCAATAATTATGAAAGCCAGAGGCTATTACTGTGCCACTCCCTGCTTAGTCATATAATATAATTATAATCTGAAGATATGTCATCTATTACTATGCCACTGCCTGACTAGCCGTGTAATAGCATTATAATCCACTCAACTATTTATGAGTAAAGCCATCCTCAAACACTTTGTGCAGAGCAACCGATCATAAATAGTTACAATGCAAAGCACAATGCATCTTGCAGGCAGCATCATTCTCTAACCTAAAAGCTGCTGAGGAAGGACATGGCTGGGCTGAATACTGGTCTCCCGACCATGTCTAGTCTTCCCTTATGGAAAAAACACATGAATTTCACGTAAACACATGTGAACGCGTGATTTCGTGTGATCTCGTGATCAAATGTGATTTAATGTGAAGTTAATGTAATAACATGTGACAACATGTGAAGCAACATGTGACAACATAAAACTACATGTGACAACATGTGAGCACATGGAAGTACATGATCTAATGTGAAAATAATGTGAAATAAATGTGACAACATGGGGATGAAAAATGTCAACATGCAATACCATGACACTACACGTGACAACATTTGAGCACATGTGAAAACCCAGGTGTGAAATGTAATTTAGAACATTTTACTTTGAAAGGCATAATTTACATTAATTACATTTAAACAGTCAAGGTCCCCTGCAGGTTTTGTGTAGTTCCCGGTTTGTTGCAGGGACATCCCCAATTACGTTTTTAAGACGTTCTTAGAACGTTGTGTAATGGTCCTGCAGGTTTTTGTCTAGTTGCGGTGAAAATAGAGTAAATCTACAAATAGTTACTGTATTATTGTAGCTAAATCCAGGTGTTAATGTTAAAGGACAGTATGCTGATTACTTGGGACTCAACCTCACTTGACTAAGATTTGAACTCACAACCTCTTGGTTGCTAGCTACCTGAAGTTCCTGCTGTGCCACTAGGTCTGTGAACATAATGGAGATTGGCAAGAATACATTTCTGCAATTTGCCTAAAGTTGCGGTAAAAATAAAGTAAATATTCACAACAACTTGAAGGTGTTTTTTCTATAAAATGATAGTATGCTGCTTTCACTTACTGTAACCACAAATGGGACTCAGTCTTAAATGGGATTTGAACTCATAACCGCTTAGTCTTTAGTAACTTGAAATGTCCTGCTACAGTGCAGCTACATCACCAGATCTGTGACTGTGAAAGAGATATGGCCACAGACTTTTTGGCAAGAACGTATTTCTATGCTTTGCTACAAGCTGCCCAGAATCAAGTAAATAATTGTCCAATTATCACCACTAAGGTAACATCAACGTAAAACGAACAGTGCTCAAGGACACTTGACGTAGGGTATACAATAATTATTTGAACTTGCAACCTCTTGGATGGGAGTCCATCGATGTTTCTGCAGTACCACCAGGTTCATACTTATTCATACTACTAAGGATATGGTTAGGGTACAGTGTTGTTACCTGGGGTACAAAAAAGTAAAAAGGTACGCTTCACAGGTACACAAATGAACTCACATGGTACAGTTAGGTACCTTGTAGGTATAATGGGGAATGTTTCTACCCAATATTTTGAATATCAGGTACGATCATCACTGCGCTTTGATGGGTGGGAGCAATGTACTGGTGGGAATCATTTGCATATTTGGGGGCTTGGTCAAATATATGTGTAATTGTGCCAACCATCAGTGGAATTGTTGTAGCAGTTTAAGTGTTAAAGAATCTACTTTAATACTTTCTGTTCTGCAAATGTTGGAAGAAAATGTGTCTGTAATTAGATTCACTGTGAAGGGGTTATTGTGCATTTTCCAATAACTTAATGGTAACTTGTTGCTGTGAATTTGTAATTTCTTAACTGGGAACTACTTGTCAATAAGTTATTGTAAAAGTCTCAATAACTTACTGGCAACATGTTGCTAATAACCTACAGGACACTTGCTGCCACTAGCATTCTTGCCAGTAACCAACTGTGCCATTACTGACTCTTCTGTTGACAATATGCACATCACTTGTTGATTGGCAGTATACTTTAACAGCGGCAGCCTATCAGAAGATTGAAGGCGTGGCTTATTTGAGGCGTGGCTTTCAGCAAGCTCTTTTTTGTCTCCCATAAGAGGGAATGTCATCCCAGTTAATCTGTTGTGTTCCTAAACATTATACTTGAATGCTGTCAGTTTTGCAGCATTGTTAAATGCTGAGATAAGTGCATGTGATACCAAAGAACCATAAGATATGTCATTCATGATGTAATTGTAATACTCACTTTTCCTACCAGACCATCAGGTCAGTGAGTGTGATAGATTAGCTACAGTAAATTACAGTGAATTTTACAATAACCCACTTGTAACTAGTTGACAGTAAATTATTGAAAATTAAACATTAACTTCATGTGAATCAGCTGATTGTCACAAGTTCTTACAAAGATTGACATTTCACATGTGAAAACGTGTTTTTGAAACACTTCACATGTGATCACGTTTTAAAATGTGCAATTCCATGTGTTATCGCTATTCAGCTAAATTATAACCCCACCTTGGATTTGAACTCTCAACTTCTGGATTTGAGGTACGCTGATCTTTTTGCTGCGCCACAAACATTCATTACCTATAATACCTCTCTGCACTTAGCAAAAGAGCTCCATCTGCATTTGCATCAGTTATTCTGACTATTCTCACATCTTTGATTTCATTTACTTATTCCAGCAATGTGAGGGTTTTCTGTATAGTTGTCTGATACTGGTGGGGTATATTATTCTGTTTGAATGTTACTCCTGAATCACTAAGATAAATATAATTGTTTTTCATGACTGTATTTTTAACAAGGCTGGGATTTAATTTGAAAAGTGTAGCAATACAGTCGAAATCGATTACTGACACAGACATTGTGGCGTAGCAGGAAGATCGGAATGCTGTGAACCAAGAGGTTGTGAGTTAAAATCCCAGGTAAGGATATGTTGAATAATAATTACTGTATAAATAACCATACACAATGTAGTAATGTTTGTCAAAAAGTGTGTCAAATATGTAAGTTGAAAACACCATGTTAAAAGTGCTGTGTGTATCACGACTCAGGATATGACCCAGATGCTGACACAGGAGGCGGATAGTTTGATTCT